CAACAACAGAGAAATGTATACTGTATTCATGACAAACTTGCCCTACTACTTGAGATGTTAACTGATGTACTTACACCGTGACACTTGAGGTTTGGATCCAGGAATGTCAGCCATCAGAGTGTCCCGACTTCACAGGAAATAACTGCATTTTCTTTCGTTCTGTGGCAGAGAAAAAAAAAACAACCCAGAAATTCAAGCAGTGAAATGGTACCTTCAGTTTTCCCCTGTCTATGAAATGGGCTCACGTTGAGCTTTCATGTGAATCTGCATGCATAATGGAGCAGAGGGCCTTCCACCAAAATGCAGCTGATTAGCACAGCAGAGTGTACGAAAAGAAGAAAACACATAAAAGCCTATTCAGGGTCAAGGATTCCCTGGAGTCCACCAATATCTCTAATAGTAATCTATTAAAAAAAAAATCACAACAAAAAACACGTTGAAAAATAGGTTTCCAAGCAGAGCCATTATTTTGTTACCTCTGGCAGACAGCGAGGCACCTGGGAAATCTGAGCTGACGTTAAGGGGGAGCAGCAGTCCAGCAGAAAAACTATATCACTTTCTTAAGCTAATTAGCCCTGTATATTACCAATCAAAAGAACCTCACTCTGAAACACAACGGCCGGCCAAGAAATATATTTGTCTTCCATTTGTGAAAGACTGGCAGTGGAAAGACTCCAGGACTGAATATTATTCACCCAAGACATTCCAGGGGATAAAATGTTGCATTAAAGAGGGATCTAAGCGTCTGATTTTTGTCACTGCTACCACTGTTATTCCCAAACAAACGGATGAGAGCTTTGTTGAAACTAGAGTTCACCATTTCAGATCCAATCACTCAGTTAACATATAACATCGCTACTGGAGAGAAACCTCTGTTACATTAATAATTAACTCGCTGACTTCTCTAAAATGAAAACGTAGTTTCTGACAACATCTTCCTTTCTAAATTGTTTAGTCACATTTTCTATATGTGATAGGATCTACAATGTCTACCAATAGGATACATGCTGTTAGAGTCTCAGCAATATAATTATATATCTTAGCCAAATTATATCATACTTTGTATTTTTCACTTTATTTTGAAGGTTTCTCTTAACAACAACAAATATTACTGAATGCAAAGAGGTATGTCTGAGCACTGTCTTTATATTATCATAAAACATTTAAATCATCTAATATAGAGAAACTTCTTTTATTTCAGTAAATTGTCTACAGGTTGTTTGCCCCCATCGATGTTTGTTGTATCCAATTTAATGATGTAATGTTCAGTTTTTTCCTTCAGTTTCCTGTTCATATATTGTAATACCTTTTCCTGCTAATATTATAGCATGGACTTTGTTAATGGTAAATCTTTTTCAATAGCAGAGCCCTTACATCATTTCTCAATTCTTCTCTATTGTCTATCTCTCTATCATGTACCTGCAGACTTGTCACTTGTGTCAGACAGAACATATTGTGTTGAGGTTCTGATCTACTGTAGCTTGTACTGAACCTCATTTGTACGTCAGTTTGGACAAAAGAATCTGCCTACAGAATAAATGTAAATATCGCAGAAAAATAAATGTGGAAACTGTCGATGATATTTAGATGCACTGAAGAGTTTGAGATTGGTTTAATCCTTCAGAGTACAGCCGACTCTTCTCACTACAGTACAGTATGGGCCAGACAGTCAATGCACAACTTCCACCAGCAGAGGGCGTAAAAACATCAAAGTTCTGTCTGAGCTGCCAGCAGGTTAAAACTCTGGTGCAAATGCATCCTCACTCAGCTTTATAGTGTATCTAAAGCCACTGAGCAGATATTTACTGGAACAATCTTCACAATGCATCCATAAGCACGAGTCATACGCTGCCTCTGACTGACACACATAAACCCAAATTCTCTCCTTCTACATGTCCAAATTGTACACGAATAATGTACTTGTAGGAAACCAATAAGCTGTTTGTAAAATGTAACAGACCTGATCTGTATTTGTGTGTAAGCAGTTCCTAAGTGGTTCCCATTCTTTTAAAGAAATCATTTTCCAGGACTTACACTTTCACGACAATAAAAGACAATAGTTGCTCACAATAGTGGTCAAGGTATTAGGTTACCAGGCTTAAATACAATTACAGTTTCCCAGGACAATATAGATTATTTCCAGGATATTTGGTCATTTTAACCAATTTCCAGGTGCTTCCATGTCTGGAAAACTAGTCTCTAAATTTTCAGGTTTTTCCAGGTATTCCAGGTATTCCAGGACTCATGAGAACCCTGAGTTTGTGGAATACTGCAGTATAGTATGTACTGTAAAATATTATATTCCAAAAAGCGTATATTAAAAAGGATGTTTTCCCAATGTGAGGTTGATTTTGCATGTTAAAGACAAATACTTGGCCTAGTCTTCATCATCATCATCAATCACCCACCTAATCGTCTGTGCAATCTAAATCCTTAACATAATCTATGCAGGCTTGATACAAGTTGAGGATTTGGTTTTGTATATGTTAAACTACAACTTTAAAAATAGGTCCAGTGTCAACATCGAGGAGGATATATGTTTATGGCAGTGCATGGGGAGTTTTGTTCTAATTCATAGGTATCTTTTCAGTGTATAATCACCTTAAAATAAGAATCATTGTGAGGTTTTATTTTATATCTACAGTCTGCCCCTGGATAAATCCAACAGTGGCTCTAGAACGGGTCATTTGTGTTTTTTTGCAATCTGCAACCACACCGCTAGATGCCACTAAATCTAACACACTAGTCCTTTAAGTTGGCTTTGATAGCACTCAATCTCCCTTGAAACACAACATTTTGATCTGGAACAGTAAAAGATGCAGTCGCTCCATCAGTGCAGACAGACATTAACCCTAACCCACCAAAACCCTCAGTACACCACCAGCAGAGTGACCTCATAGGAAACAACGACCAGCGTCTTCCTTCAGGAAACATCTGGGCCAACACTTCAGTTTGATCCGCAGAGTCAAAAAAACAGGGCAGTGGTGGGAGGGCGTGTCCCAGTGTGGGGGGACGGCGAGGGATAAAGGTCTCTGGCCTGGTTCCACTTTTAACTCTGGTAAAGGAGTAATCAGGAGGATTATAGGGGCAACAAGGAAATGACCCTGTAATTCATTGTTTGCACTGAGAACTCCTCCGAGGCAGAAAGACGTGGGTTTGCACTGTATGTCTTTAATTTAAAATCCTCCACCTCTGATGGACATGTGTGTGATCAATCAATACTTGAACCTGCTGAACTTGAACTGATTTTAGGTTTTCATTGTCATCCAATTCTAAAAGTATAATCTCTGAATTGATTATTAACATTGTTGAAAATACATTTTGACTCACGTCTTTATTATTTAGACACAAATGTGAGGATTTTTCCCATTTTATATGCTTCGGGGAAACTGATTCAAAATTGTATCATTAAGCAGCTGAAATACTGATTATACGAACTGACTTTAAGTGTCGTATACCTTGGAAACAGTGTTCAGTGTTGTTACCTTGTGGGTTCGTTTAAAGCTCGTCAGGCCTCTTCCAGAAATAAAATGTTGATATTCAGCTCTGTGACTCTATAGGACTCTCTCTGATAGTACTGTCTCTGCATCACTGTCTGCTGTTCCCATTACTCATACCTGCACTGTATATCTGTATATTACATCCGTATGATACTGTTCATACTGTATTCACGTTAGTGTCTAACCCTTGCTGCTGAAGGTCTTCCCTGTCAGCTTTACCCCGTTGAGCTCTGGGAGGAGCAACGGGGCACACCTGTGCTGTCTGGAGACACAGGTGAACTCAATCTGCCTCTAATCAGCACTCTTATAACCAGGAGGAGAAAGCGCTGCTGCTCCCTTGTACAAGTGAGTTATCCTTTGTTTGCTAATGCCACACCTAGTTTAGTTCTACGTTTGACTAATCCCAGTGTTTAACTGACGTATTGTTTAAATATCACTCTTTAGAGTGAGATAATTGGGAATAGTTGAGGTTGTTGATTTACGCCACAGATACTTCTGTTTGTGGAATTAATACAGACCCACCACTAGATTAAATTTAAAGGAAATTTTTGTCAGAATAATGTTCCTGTTCAATCTAAAATGTTATATTATCTTAACAAAATGTAGCAAGTTACTCCATTAAAAAAACCTTTAGAAATGGCCGTGATAGGGATTTTAGTCCAGCTGGACCAGTTTTACACATCTGTCTGTCCTCTTGTGATTACCGCACTGACACAGTCCTGCTGCTTTTAGAGCTAGCCTGCATTAGCAGACCAAACCGTATTTCCTCATAGACCGTTTGTTTGTTTGTTTTTTGTGGACTTTTTTGTCTCTAGCTAAAGAGTAACAGGTAGCTAGCGTGCCACAAAGTTAGACATAATCAGTGGTAAGGATGCTAGCTTGCTACAGTTTTAACAGCTGGCTAATTTCCTGACTCTATAAATGAATCCTACCCAACCCATATAATACTCCATCTACTGTCTACGAACATTTCATTCTCAGCTGCAGCAGCGCCTCCTGCTGGCCAGGATGGGTGTCTTGGCAAGAAAAGCAGTGGCATTCATTGTGACTGTAAGGACCCCATGCAGGTAAAGGGGGCTGTCTTTAAATGTGCCTGTGCGGGATTTCACCTGTTAATAACTAGCCTGGAGTTTTCAGATATTTGAGTTTAAAAAACATTCATGTTGAACATTCAGTGTCTATTTTAAGAGGTTTGTGCCTGAGCAGTTATATTCAAGGTATTTTAAAGTTAAAATGTGTAATTATTTTGGTAAATCAGGGAATATAAAAATACTTTAAACAAACTGAACATTATAACCTTCATGATGGAGCATTACTGTTGTATTACACTGTATTAGTTTATAGGTGTACCTAGACTGTATCAATGTCAGTGTCAACCAGTACATTGATTAGTAGTGATTAGTGTTTGCAGTGGTTACCATGGTAGCCCTTTTTAAGATGATCATTGTACTTGTAAGTGATAGATGTGGGCATAGAAAATGCAATAGACAGTCCTAAATTTCAAATAAAGGTTTATTCATTTCAATAACACAGCAGTATTACACAGTAATAGGCTTTTAATGATCAGATGAAACCACATTCACCCACGCATCAACAGGAGCTCTGAAGTACTGAGGTGCAGCCTAAATCAATACAGTATGACCTCAGATACTGTATGCGTCTTTGACCATTATACACCCATAATAAATCTTTGCATACGTAAATACCCCATGAAAACGAATCACAAGAAACCCAACAGGCAGCATTCCTCGAAAAGTACCTATTTGTCATTTTTGCTCCATTATAACAAATGAGAGACTTCCAGTAAACTGAAACGGACAGTGGAGGATTGGAGTGTGACCAAACATACAATAAATCAATTTATATTGCATCTGTCATATATAAAATGTGATGGTAAACAAACAAGTGATGAAATCTTGTGCAAGAAGCTGCAATTTTAACCACACAGGGCTGACAAGGTGATACTACACTACAATCGGAGGATTTTCTCTGAACCACATCCTGGAGGGACTGGAGCTTACAGTGATTGCACAGAAAAGACAATACAGTATTAGTTAATACAGCACAATGGAACAGAATTGATTTCACGCCAGCCCATTAATGAGGGTGGCAGGTCATGCACATCATGCCTGAGTCAACAGCATGCTACAGCGACAAGTAGCCATGCCTCATTCACCCAATAACAGAAAAGTCAAATTTGATTGTACATTAAAAAAAACTCCCAAAAACAGAACAGGAAAAGTAAAAGTGAGCCCTTGTGCGTGAGCCGTTGTCCCGTGAGCCGTTGTCCCGTCAGCTGCATTCATTTCTTCTGGCAGTAGTTGCTGTAATTGCTGCAGGCCTTCTGCATGTCCGTTAAGAAACCTGGAACTCCGCTCTGCACAAGAACAAACACACGAAGAAAAGCGCATGTCAGTGAGCGTCACGAACACATGTGCCAAGAGGACCCACCCAGGAGGGGCAACGAGGAGAGCAGCTGTTGACATCATCCCGCAACACATCTGCAAACAATAATGAGAGAAAACCAGCAAGCAGGCGGAGGGATGGAGCTCTCCGAGGCCTGTGAGTGAACCCTTTTAACACCCTCTTTAAAAGACCTCATCAGAGACCTGTGAGTAGGTCGACAGCGAACATGTCCTCATGACTTCCACATGATAGTTTGAATATTCCTTTTAAGATATTCCTTTTAATATTAGCTCATTTAAGTCTGCATACATAATACGTCCAAATATTTGGAACAAATGTTTCTGTCACTTTTAGACTTTGTGCTATTTAAAGGCTTTTCTTTTTTAACAAGGTTGTCCTCTAACCCTGAACAACAACAGAACCATTAAGTGCTGTTTATCTTTTGGAACAGATACTCTTCGACAAGGACGTGCACAAGGCCGAGCTAAA